TAACGCTCAATGGTAAACCAAAGACCACAACAGGGCACTAAGGCAAGGGGGAGGTTAGCTTATATACACACACAGGGTGTGCCTGATTGGCTAACCTCCAATAAATGTTAACCACAACACATGGGGAGGGGAGGGGGGGGGGAGTTCCTTCCTTCCCTTGTGGTCTCTGAGGTCATCACTGTGTGCCGGGTCAGGCACACATATAAGGATGCTGCTGTGGCGCATGCAGCGTCAGACACACTGCCAGTATGGAGCGTGGTGGCGGGGACAGCCGCACACCGCAGACAGGGACCAGATGACGCCACTCGCGGTGACGGGGTAAGCATGGACACCGCGAGCGGCACAGGGACAAGGGACCTGACAACTCGAGTTGGTAAGAAATAGGTTGCAAGGTGTTACGTTCTGACCCCACCTCTGACGAGAACGAGAAGTTGTGTACTCCAGGGTTGCCTTAATCTTTTTTTTTGTTGTAAATATATATTTTTTTTATTTGCATGTTTCGTGCACACAAAGAGAAAGGCAAAACATTGAGACTCGCAGGTCTCCGTTATTATCATGCAGTGTGCGTACAGAGAAAATGACGACACATTGAGACTCGCAGGTCTCCATTATTTTAACCATGAATATAGAACTGTAAAAAATTACAAACATGTTAACTGGTCCATTTCTGTGTCTTGCTCTTCAACATTTACACTCATTCTAATATATTTTTATACAGTTGCATGTTCTATTGGGCTCGTATGCCCGCGATTACGTCAGTCCCACAGGTCCCTTGTGGGTATTGCGTGTGTGTGTATGTCTCCGTTACTTGTGCCTGTCTGTGAGAATGTTGCGTGACAGCCCGGGTCCTATGGTCTGCCACTCTCATCCCCTCCCCTCTTTGGGGTGCCCTATTTAGTTGAGGCGGTCTCCTCATCTATGTGTCAGGGCCTCCCTTGTCATTTTTGGTGTTTTTCGGGCCTTCTAGTTTTGGTTAGCCCTTGGTGCCGGAGGTAGACCCGCCCCTGTGTGGCTGTCTTCCCCGCTCCTCTCTGGGTTTGTGGCCTCCTGTAGTTAACTGTGTGGAGGTAGTTATGTCATGTTAGTAAATTCGGGATCTGTTGTCTTCAGGATCTAATGTGTCTAAGTGTTGAGGTACACTTGGAATGTATCGTGAGCTTTGTGGTGAAGTTCCTCTAGGGATCTCAATTCTTCCATTTGTGTAAACCAAACTCTCAAAGGGGGGATGACCTGTTTTTTTCCAATACTGTGGTATGATCAATTTGGCCGTGTTCAGTATGCGAATTGTGAGTGATCTCTTATACGCCGTTCGTGGGGTTTTAGTGTGGTGTAAGAGCATGACTGCTGGGTTGAATGGGACTGGGTCGTCTGTAAACTTAGCCCCATTCTGGTCAGAGATTTACAAAATATTGGCAATCTGTTTGCACTCCCACCAAATGTGTAAGAGTGTGCCTCTATCCTCCCCGCATCTCCAACACTGTGGGGGGTGGGATGGGATTCGGGCATGTAGTGACTCAGAAGTGTGGTACCAGTGTGCCAGTAGTTTATGTGCCGTTTCCTGTGTCCTGCTGTAGCTAGAGCAGTGATGCGTTAGGTAGCAGATTTTCTCCCATTCCACCTTGTCAAAGGTCTGGCCCAGTGCCGACTCCCACTTCCCCATGAACCGTGGTTGGGCAATTGGTGTGAGTGTTATTAGTAGGGTGTATAGTGCCGATACCCCGTGTGCTAGTGGATTGGGTTCCAAGGGTTGCCTTAATCTTTGATTAGAAAGAAAAGTCTAAAGTTGGAATGTAGAATATCCACGTTTGGAGACATTAGCCAATGTTTCTTTATTAGTAAATGTATTAAGCCAATCCATTTAGGACATAAATTTTTAATATTTTTCTGACTTGTTTTGTCGAGAAAAGAACTTATTTTCTCGACATAAGTCAGAAAAATATAGAGACCTACATGCCCTGTCTGGGCTTCCATACCCTCCTCAGCAGTGCTATATTTTTATCACTAATGTACTCTTGTGATAAGGCCTTTCATAGATAGTCTTGAGCAGTAAGGTCCCATGAGCACATTAGGCAACATTACGCCCGTTCCCATCAAATGTCTTAACCAACAGCTGATTTAAAAAAACGACAAAACTCAGCCTACTGCCAAAGCATGTCAAACTAGTCCCAACTGTATCGAATGTATATCTTTTGATTATGTTGAATTTTAATTTGTGTCACTCTTTTGTAAACCTGTATCTTTTTGTCACTTTATATTGTTTTAATTGTTCCCCTTGACTTGAAGTTTTATTGAAATTTTAATTAAAGGATACACCCTTCTTTCTTTCAAGTGGGGGTAGTAGGTTTGAGTGCCTATAGGGTCCCTTTAACTTAGAACATTCACATTGTATTCTCACTTGTCACCTGACTTTAATATGCACGGATTTATGGAGTTTTTGCGTTGTATTACTGCTGTGACTGACTAAAATGTCACAACATTTATATTCGTGGGACTGAGCACATCACAGGCTTGGATTGACCTTTTTTTCTCTTACCATTAAATCAATTTTCAGCTAATAACTATTTTAAAGTAGCTGGACTTTGCAGTGCAGGAACCCTTCTTTATTGAATTATATCTTTGATCTGAGTAGACCTTTTAAAGTCGGTTTTACCGATTTCCTGCACCAAAACTTTTTATATGTTACAGATGTGGTGGTGCTATTTTGCAAATATATATATTTTCTACAAGCAGCATATGCTAACAAGTAGATGAAATATTTGGAAAGTTAATGCGGCATAGATCCTGCCGCTCACTGTAGTGGTTATGGTTACAGGATTCCCCTGGCACCTTTCTGCAGTACATACTCATACTATTGTTTAACAGTTTGAAGCTTACCTTGGTTCCCAAGTAACTTTAGTCCAGTCACGATTTCTGAGATATCTAAAGTAGAAGCTCCTACTTTTAAAATAGAAATAACAATGTAGTCCAAATCTGGATGAATTCCATGCAAACATTAGTAGAACCAACTTTGAATTAGCACCTGGAAGACCAAGGGAAGTGTCAAACTGTTTGAAAATGGCTTGACTACTCACCATTGTCAACAGGAAACTGTAGTAGTTATGGTGCCCTTTTATTTTTTCCTTGGGGTTCCCATTACCACCCTTATTTTTCCGTGGATGTGTTAATGAAAATATAATATTATTAATGGCTTTTAATTGTAAGCAGTTACGTGGCATGTATTCTAGAAACACCATGTTGTTCTTGTTCTTCTGATTGGCTAAGTTTCTGCAGACACCAAGAAATAGATAGCCGGTCAAAGGCCTGAAGAAATGGTTCACTTTGCTGGTTGTTTGCCATGAGGAGGGCAGTTGATCCGCAGGATGCAGCGTGGAGGCCATCTTAGGCGTCAGCTCACGGTTGCTTAAGTTTCTGAGGTGTATTGTGCCACTTACTGTAGGATGCAGTAGTGAGCACGGGGATAACCCCCACCGGTCCAGAGGGGGAGGGGAGAGGATTGGGTGATTTTCAGACTTGGGCAGGGGATCGATTCTGTCTGCAGGACTTCATGGACTGCGGTCACTGGACTCGACCAAACAAGCACAACTTTCAGGGTTTATAAGTGGTTGCTGCAGAGAAGCTCAAGCTACGTGCGACCATCTTGGTCAGTGATCAGATTTTTTTTTTTATTTCAAATTTATGCATTTCAATTCCTTCTTCTCCATTATTTATTTATTTTTTTTGCATTGCCCGTTCTCCTAAATTAAATTCCTCTTTCAATCCATTGCTACCGCTTCTACTTCCCTTCATGAATAATATCAGTCCCCCAATACACAAATGCTTCTTGAACCCTCTATATAAAAGATTCTCGACTACACTGGATCATCTCACTCTCTCAATTTCTGCCCCCTCCTCTCCAACAATTTGTGAGTTCCATCCCATTCTTTTGCTCTCTTTCGCTTCCTCAAATAAAGCAAAAGATCACATTTTATATTCAAATCAGTGTTAATTTTGTCGACTAACATTTTCAGTCAAATTTCGACAAAATTTTTTTTAAATGTAGTCTATTAAAACTAAAACAATTCAAAAGACTAAAATATGACTAAAACAGCTTTCTAGTCAAAATGACTAAAACTAATCTGAAATTTGCAGACAAAATTAATACTGGCAAGTATGACATATGGGGGAGGGAGGAGATAAAAAGAGACACGTGAGGGGGCTGGGGCAAATGAGACACATGAGGGGACTGGGGGAATAAGACACATGGGAGGCTGGGAGAATGAGACACATGGAGGGACTGGGGGGAGGAATTGACACGCATCGGCGGCTGGGGGAATGAAACACGTGAGGGAGATGAGATGCATGGAGGAGCTGGGACACACACACAAAGCGATATAGAGGGGGTAGGGGAGAAAGAGACAAGGTGCTGGGGGGAAAGAGACACACAAACTGGGCTATGGAGAGAAAGACAAACACAGAGGGGCTGGGGGTGAGGAACCACATAAGCTAGGAAACAGGCAAAATAGACATACAGGGGAAGGGGCAAAAGAGACAGATCGGGGCTGGGAGACACACCCGGAAGGGCTGGGACACACACAAAGAGACGCAGAGGAGATAGGGAAGGGGCAAAAGAGGCAGAAATGAGTTTTTACTAAAACCCATATCTAGTTGTGTCTAAAATAAAATCTACTGGAGATTTAGTCGAGTAAAAATAGACCTAAACTACAACAATTCAGAGGACTAAAATACGACTAAAACAAAGATGGCTTTTTAGTCAAAAGATTAAGACTAAAATTAAAGATTCAAATCTAGCATTCTGGGTTGTAGTCAGACAAAAAGACAAATCTAATGCACAATGAATTCTTAGCGTCTAAAGAGCAGTAGAGATGTCGCGAACCGTCCGCGAACTTCTCGTGAACGGTTCGCCACGAACTGTTCGCGGCAAACTCCGGTCAGCTGACACATCCCGGCCAATCTCCAGCAGACCCTCCCTCCCAGACCCTCCTACTTCCTGGACAGCATCCCTCCCAGACCCTCCTACTTCCTGGACAGCATCCATGTTTCAACATGGATGCTGTCCAGGAAGTAGGAGGGTCTGGGAGGGAGGGTCTGCTGGAGATTGGCCGGGATGTGTCAGCTGACCGGAGTTCGCGGCGAACAGTTCGTGGTGAACCGTTCGTGGACGGTTCGCGACATCTCTAAAGAGCAGTAGTGGAGTTAAAGGACCACTATAGGCACCCAGACCACTTCAGCTCAATGAGGTGGTCTGGGTGCTAGGTCCATCTAGGATTAACCCTGCATGCTGTAAACATAGCAGTTTCAGAGACAAATGGGTTAATCCAGCCTCTAATCCAGCATTGAGAATGCTTTCCTATGGACTGGCTGAATGCGTGCGCATTCAGCTGATGACGACAGAAGGAGGAGGAGAGTCCCCAGCGCCGAGGGAGCCCGGTGCTGGAGAAAAGTGAGTGTTTAACGCCCTTCAGCCCAGCGGGAGTGGGACCCTGAGGGTGGGGGCAACCTCAGGGCACTATAGTGCCAGGAAAACGAGTTTATTTTCCTGGCACTATAGTGGTCCTTTAGGGCTGCAGTATGAGATGTAGAGAAGATACAAAGAACAAAGTCATGGCATAAAGCAGGAAGTTTTTTTTGTTTTTTTTTAAAGCGGACTTTAATAAAAGGCACAAAGATATATATACACAAGGTACAAGATTTAAAACGGCAAATCTCTTAACTGCCAACTAGCAGTGCAATCAATAAGATTTGGACAGTGGCATGAGTTTCAATTTTAAATTAAACTATGATAAACAGAATGATGTGCAGACAGTCAGCTTGTGAGACAAGCCTTGTGGCATTAGGGAGATTTAAATCCCAAAGATGATTTGCAGACGAGGATGTCAGGCTTTAGCAAGCATTTGAATGCAGGGGTTAAAGGGACATTATAGTCACCTGAACAACTTTAGCTTAATGAAGCAGTTTTGGTGTATAGAACATGCCCCTGCAGCCTCACTGCTCAATCCTCTGCCATTTAGGAGTTAAATCCCTTTGTTTATGAACCCTAGTCACACCTCCCTGCATGTGACTTGCACAGCCTTCCATAAACACTTCCTGTAAAGAGAGCCCTATTTAGGCTTTCTTTATTGCAAGTTCTGTTTAATTAAGATTTTCTTATCCCCTGCTATGTTAATAGCTTGCTAGACCCTGCAAGAGCCTCCTGTATGTGATTAAAGTTCAATTTAGAGATTGAGATACAATTATTTAAGGTAAATTACATCTGTTTGAAAGTGAAACCAGTTTTTTCATGCAGGCTCTGTCAATCATAGCCAGGGGAGGTGTGGCTAGGGCTGCATAAACAGAAACAAAGTGAGTTAACTCCTAAATGACAGTGAATTGAGCAGTGAAATTGTAAAGTAATTTAGGAGTCTATAGTTTTCCTTTAAAGGACCACTATAGTGCCAGGAAAACATACTTGTTTCCCTGGCACTATAGTGCCCTGAGGGTGCCCCCACACTCAGGGTCCCCCTCCCGCTGGGCTCTGGGGAGAGGAAAGGGGTTAAAACTTACCTTTCTCCAGCGCCGGGCGGGGAGCTCTCCGCCTCCGATCCTCCTCCTCTCCTCCCTTTCGGCAGAATGTGCACGCGCGGCAAGAGCTGCACGCGCATTCAGCCGGTCTCATAGGAAAGCACTTACAATGCTTTCCTATGGACGCTTGCGTGTTCTCACTGTGATTTTCACAGTGAGAATCACGCAAGCGCCTCTAGCGGCTCTCAATGAGACAGCCACTAGAGCAGGGGTGTCAAACTCAAATTCATCGGGGGCCGCATCGGCAGTTTGGTCACCCTCAAAGGGCCGGTTGTATCTGTAGGACTATGTGTCCACTCTTTATTATCATAAATTATTGTCACTGCATTCAATTATTACTGTTTTTTGTGTATGGGGGCAGTGTGTGTGTATGGGGGCAGAACGGGTGTATGGGGGGCAGTGTGTATATGGGGGCAGTATGTGTGTATGGGGGCAGTATGGGGCAGTATGGCAGTGTGTGTGTGTGTATGGGGGCAGTGTGTGTATATGGGGGCAAGCAGAACGGTGTATAGGGGCAGGCGTATGGGGGCAGTGTGTATGGGGGGCAGTATGGGGGCAGTGTGTGTGTATGGGGCAGTATGGGTGCATGGGTGCAGTGTGGGTGTATGGGGGGCAGTGTGGGTGTGTATGGGGGGCAGTGTGTGTGTGTGATATAAGGGTAGGGGGGGCTTTTATATATTATATATATATAATTTTAATTAAAATATATATTTATGTCCCCCCTCCCTTCTTACCTTTACTGGGGGGAGGGGGTACATTTCCCTGGTGGTCCGGTGGGGGATTCATTGGTGGTCCCAGTGGGGAGAGTGAACTCTAGCCCACGCTCCAGGGCTAGAGTTCACTCTCGCGAGATTTGGAGCATTGCCGTGGTAACCGCGGCAACGATCCAACTCCCACGAGAGGAGGACCCGGAGGAGCTGCAGCCTGAGCTCCGGGTCCTCTATCCCTCCCTCCCCCGCCGGCTGTCAGCACTGTGCCTGCGGACCGGGGAGGGAGATTTGTGATCTCCCCTCCGGTCCGCAGGCACATTGCTGGGCTGGCAGGAGAGGGAGACCGTCGGTATTCTCGGGGGGTGGGGCAAACCGCCCATTGCCCCCGGATCCGCCAGTGGGCTAGCGGCCGGCGGCGGCTACACGGGCCACACAACGAGGTATGGTGGGCCGGATTCGGCCCGCGGGCCTTGTGTTTGACACCCGTGCACTAGAGGATTTGAGGGCTGGATTAACCCATTTATAAACATAGCAGTTTCTCTGCTATGTTTATAAAAAAATGGGTTAACCCTAGCTGGACCTGACACCCAGACCACTTCATTAAGCTGAAGTGGTCTGGGTGCCTAGAGTGGTCCTTTAAGGTAAAAGTATAGTCGACCACATACCCCAGCACCAGACTAAAAAACTGGCGTGTTATCAAACATGAGGGGGAATTTAGTTGTTGGGATGGAGATGAAAGGGGCAAATGAGTTTTGGAAATATTAAAAGGTAAACTATATATCTGTTATGGAGATATTAAAGGGAAACTATAAGCATATTTAAGAGGTTACACATGTTATGATTTCCTAACCAGCCATGATGAAGAAAAATAATGTCAATATAAAAATTATATTCCAAAAATATATACTCAGCAGCAGCTATTTGATGCCATTACATGAACAAAATACTTATGAAAATTGTCACCAAGTTGAATATAAAGGGCTTGTTTGAATTTTCTGCATCCTCTTCCTGCATACGAAAAAGCAGATAAGTAGTACTGTGTTTGGTTTTCATCACATGCCTGCAGCGCGCTACTACCTCATTATAACCAATAATCCTCTTAGAGTGGATTTAATATGTAAAATAACATTAAAGGGACACTAATGTTACCAGAACAACTACATCATTCGGAGAAAAGGCAGTGTTTACTGTAAAGCCTAGGGACACCTTTCAGTGGCCACTCTTCAAGACAGCCACTAGAGGTGCTTCTTGGGGTAGTGCTGCACAGTATGTAGCACTGACGTTCAGCATCTCCTCGCTCTGCATGGAGGCACTGAATTATCCCCATAGAGATACATTGATTCAATGCATCTCTATGAGGAGATGCTGATTGACCAGGGCAGCATTTGGCACCGGCCCTCACCATGCCTTCTTGGCTGAGATAAATCAGAATTTACCATATCAGCCAATCCAATGCTTTCATATAGTAAAGCATTGTAATTGGATGAGATAATCAATTCTGATTATGTCAGCCAAAAAAGCGGATCAGGGGCTCGGCCACCGCTGGAAACCCACGCAGAGCTGGAATAATGGGGAGTAAAATACATTTTTTAAAAGGTAATAAAGGGGGAGGGGAGAGCAGCCACCTAAATAGTTTAACACTACAGGGAAAGGAATACACATTTGTGTTCCTAATCCTATAGTGTTCCTTTAAAAGTACAGCATGTACCATTCTCATTCCATAGGCCCAAGAACAGGCATGATGGTTCAAATGCACCAGGTACTCTCCATGCCTCTCTAGCCAGAAAAATCTATTTTTCTTTATTGATCCAAAAGCCTGGGAAGTTAGCGTGCTAGATTAATAATGTCATTGTATGCTTACTCAAAATTTTCACTCAGGCTATGATATGGAGGCTAAACAATAAATCCCTACAATTCCTGCTAGACAGTTTACTGAATAAGCTCAAATTGTATACAACAGAAATATGGGTTCCTGGTTATAGTTTTTCTGGAAAATAGGACCAAATGACAGTTCAGCTTATTTTGAAATTCAGACCTGTCCATTTGACAGACTGATTTACTGGGTCCTTGTCACCTCTGGGACAAAACTGCAAATTACAACCATCATGACATACCACTGCCAAACAAGACAACCATGGGACATGGAGTCTTCCCAGTTTTATCACTTTTTTTATTTCGGTCTTATTTAGTGGAAATATATATATTTTCAATATTTTTCACACACATTGCATTTTCTGAGGTGGATGTAACAGACTGATGATTCCTACTAAAGCAAAACCCTCCACTTATACTATAGCCAAGTATGTGGGAAGTTATAGGAACATTTTATAGAATTTCGCAAGACTTATTTAAAGGGCTCAAGTCATACACAGTATACAGAAGAGCAACATCAAAATAATATTACCATCATTGTTATACCCTGCTTGCAAAAGTAGACATCATCTGTGGTTTCAGAATGGAGAACTTTGACAGGGTTATTTAATAAAGTAAAAATAGACAGGAATTCAAAGTGAATTTCAAATAAAAGGCCAAAATAGCTAACCTGAAAGCACTGTCGACTTGCAGAATGTTACCAGTTTGGCTAATAGACATGATCTAAACCAGGGGTGCCCAAAAAGGTAGATCCCAAGATGATAGGACTACAGCTCCCATGATGCTTTGCATGCCTTCAAAATGACAAAGCATCATGGAAGCTGTAGTTTTAAAACATCTGGGGATCTACCTTTTGGGCACCCCTCAATAGACTGATTGATTGGGCCCATGTCACCTTTAGATGGAATAGTAGGCTCTAAATTCGAATTACCTTGTTATGAAATCATAGTTATAAAAGCAGATGCCCAGGCTATTTCACATAAGGCCTTTTGGCACTGTTTTTCACTAATCTCTGTAAAATGTTACTATTTTATCATCTAGGACAAATAAATAAATAAAATATAAAGTTAAAAAAGAAATAAATGTCTATTGGGGTCAATATGGCCCCTCCCCATGCAACTATAGATTTAAATCCGGCCTTATTCACCCACCTGACATGCTTTAAACAGGAGCATATCTACAACGGGTGGTTGCTGAACGGTTAAAGCGGCACTGTCATGCCGAACTTACCTTTCCTCAATTTTTTTCCTCTTCTCCCCCTCTCTCAGGTTCTGTTCTTCTTTTCTTCCTGTCTTCTTTAGTTTTCTTTAAAATCAAAAGACAAAGTAGGGACTCTTTGCCTTATGGAGGTTTCCTCCGCTTGACCAGTGGTGGAGCAAAGTGTGCTTCATTTCTGCTGGTCAGAGCAATTTTCCCATGATCCTTAGCTTTCCTCCGTGTTCCCACGATGCTTCCTGTCAGTATTGCCGAACGTCCTGTCACTTAGACAGAACGCCGACAAAACTGACGAATTGCATCTTAACAGAATGAGAACAGTGTCTCCATTCGTGTTAGGATGCAATTCGGGACTTTGTTGAATGAATGAAACTCTGATCCCATTTGTGTTGTGGCTGCATCTTGCAGCCGCTTAGTAGATAACTCCCTAATTCCCACGGTATCAGGGAGTTATCTACTAAAATGCTGAAAGACCTAAATTGGTCTTTCAGCCAACTTTACTAATACTAAGTAAAGATTACTTAGTATTAGTAAATTCTGCTCCTACTCGCTATACCGCGAGTAGGGATGTCTATTAAACAGTGAGCAGCCTGTGGCTGCTCACTGTAAATAAATGTAAAAAACAAAAACAAAAAACATATCCCCCCTCCTATTTATGGGGGCCATAAATAAGAATGTGGGGGGGACCTACTGTCCTCCCCCCCGGCCCCCACCCCTGAGCTGTGGGTGGGGTTCCTAAAAAACAATAAGGGGGAGACCTATTGTCCTCCCCCCAGGGCCCCTACCCCTGAGCGGTGGGTGGGGGCCCTAAAAAACAATAAAGGGGGGGGACACCTACTGTCCTCCCCCCCAGAGCAGTGGGTGGGGGCCCTAAAAACAATAAGTCCTCCCCCCAGGCCCCCACCCCTGAGCGGTATTGTTTTTTAGGGCCCCCACCCACCGCTCAGGGGTGGGGGCGGGAGGACAGTAGGTTCCCCCCCCCCCTATTGTTTTTTAGGATAGTAGTTTTCTTTTTTAAATAGTGAGCAGCCATAGGCTGCTCATTGTTTAGTGGACATGCCCCTACTCGCGGTATAGCGAGTAGGGGCATTGGGGAGATTTTAATCTCTCTTATGCTATTATGGGGGTCATATTGACAGCCATAGAGTGAAAGGGGACCTGGGGGGGGCTTATTAAGTGGCGGGGAGCACTGCTCCCTGCCGCTTCTATCTTTACAGATTACAAGGAGGGAGCTGCGTGCCGGTAGCTCCCTCCTTGTAATAAACTGAACGAACAAACGAACAGTGATATTCAGTGTTTGTTCATCTGACATTTCTATTCATTCATTCGTCTTTCTGATGGATGGATGAATGAATAGATGAAATTCCTGTTTGCATGTCCAAATGTTTCACTGGGCATGTGCGGGAATCTCACAGTCTATCTAGTGTGGGCAGATGACATGTCCAACAGGGACTTCCTCTACCCACACAAAGATGGCGGCGCCCTGAATATAGATTGGGGCAGAAAATAAAGATGAAAAAATAGGTAATATGGGGGGCTTAGGGGCATTTGGGGGTGGCTAGGGGGTCAATTGGAGATACTGGAGGCGGTTACTGGAGGCGGGTTAAAAAAAAAAAAAGGAATTCGGCCATGACAGTGCTGCTTTAATGCTGGCAGTGGGGGATGGATAATGGAAATCGAAGTGGCCTACTTCTGCCTCCACCTCATTCTCTTCCCACTGGCCAGCAGTTGTGGTGGGAGTTTAAAAAAAAAAAAAAATGTATAGACAGGGTAGTTATTACTAACCAACTGCTTAAGTCCCCTTCCAAGAAGCGATATGATTTCGCTTATAAAGTAAATGGGAGAGGCCTGTCACTACCCTCACAACCACCTATGGACATCAAGTGGGTGACCATCAATAATAAAGGGAGAGGACATGCTATTGTGAGGGAACTGCTGGCAGCTGACCTGTGGCATGTGAAGTGGGGGTAAAAGGGAGACTCGCGTCTTCCCTATAGTTCTATGGGGGTCATTTTTTTTTAGAAAACGGAAAGTCCGGCAGACAGTGAGAATCGGTGCTGGAACACAGACTTACGCGTTAAACTGTTCAAGAACGTATTAACGCATTAAGTGGCAGGTGCCTCTCGGCACCATAACAGCATCATTTCCATGAAGTTGTTATGGTGCCTACACTGTTCCTTTACCGAAGAAAATAGCCGAATCGGAAGGAAATCCGTAAAACCAGCTATGTTTTCAGTTCAGCTACTCTGGGCGTGAATGGAAAAAGTCACCTTGAATTCTCACTTCATTGAATAACCCCGTAACAAGGAACATTATCATTATCACTGCGATTTATATAGCGCCAACAGATTCCGTAGCGCTGAGATTCACGAAAAAAAACACTGAATTTTAGCAGTCACAGCTGCCTTAATTTCACCAATTCTCTAAAATTAAACCCTTATCCTTCCTTGTTCAATATCAGAATTCGCTGCTTAGTGAATAAGACCCTGCGGGTAATTCACCCCCTCCCCAGAAAATGGTTTTATTTTTATGACAAGTCACTTCCGTGTACGTCATCACACCACGTGCCGCATCACCATAGCAACAGTGACATCACGACGCCCCCCCACTTTCTATGAACACATTTACCTTTATCGCACAGCGGTCACGCCCAGCTCGCCGAATAAACTCTGTTGGTAAAGATGGCGGCCTCGGCTATTTTATTTATATATACTCCTTCCCCTCCCCCCTCTACAGGTTTTGTGACCTATTTATTCCAGGCCTCAAAGCCCGCGTGAACGCGCACGCAATGCCTGCGCGCGCACGCATGCGCATCCTCCCCCCCCCTTTTTTTTTTTTTAAACCTGGGTCCGTGCACGCGCTGTTACCAGGCGAGCGCCGAGGGGCGTGGCCAGGCGCGCACCGTTCTTACCTTTAACTCGTCGCCTGCGAAAGCCATCGGCCAGCCAATCGCCCGGCAAAACCGCCGGAGCGCGAGCACGCGCCCCGAAAGGGCTTTCCTCACGAGGCTAAAGGCTCGCGATTGGCTCACAGGGAGGGCAGTGACAGCGAGAGGAGGAAGAGAGAGAGAGGGGAGAAAAAAAAAAAAAAAAGAGAGAGAAGGGGGCGGGGCTGCAGCCTCAGCCCGTATAAATAGTGCAACGCAGCAGCCCAGCCGCCATTTTAAGAGTCCGTTGGACGGCGCAGCAGGCGGGGGATTTTTCTGGTTCCGAGACCAGAGAGGCCGGATGGTGAAATCCTCCCTCCAGCGGATACTAAATAGTCATTGCTTTGCCAGAGAGAAAGAAGGAAATAAAAGGAGCGCCATGCCTCTAATGAGTATTCCCAGTAATAGTAGTGAAAGGTAGGTGGCTGCTCCCCCCCCCCGCACGAGGAAAGGGAGGGAGGGGTTAACGTCACCTGAGGTACCTACCGCCTCTGGTACTAAATCCCCCCTCCCCCAACCCGGCCTGTCATTCTATCCTGTCAGCCTGAGGCCTAGCTGGCTCCGGTGGGTACCCAGGAGGCAGGCTGTGATATACAGGGGCTGGGGGTGGCGGCTGGCCCTGTGGGGAGGTAAACAAGGCCTGAGCCGGGAGCTCCTCCCAAACTGCGGCCTACTATCTATGTGAACCTGACCTCTCCCCACTCAATATGGCTGTCTTGGCTTCATTATTATTATTTATATAGCGCCCTCAGACTCTTTAGCAATGCCCTGTAATAATACCTCACCCAAAAGGGTATGTTCACCCTGTGAAAGGTGACTCTCAATCTATTAGGGTGATTAGTCCCCTAAGTAAATGTTTATTTTTTTTTATTACGGGCACTTATAAAGCGCCAACATAGTCCACAGCGCTGTACAATTGGGTGAAAAGACAGTAAAATAGAAAAAGATGTGAAAGGTAGAGGGGCCCAGCCTGTGAGCTTACAATCTAAAGGTTACATTTTATTTCAATTGCAGTCCTGGAACAGCAGGGGGAGAATATACATTTTGCCTTTTGCTCCCCCCCTTTTTTTTCCAGTATTGTCTACAAATTTGGTTTAAATTATTGGAGCAGTAAAGTCAGGGAGATACCCAATGTAAAAGACTGAATAGTACAGCGCTATAGAATCTGATGGCGCTATAAAAATAGTACGTGGCGTTTTTTTTGTTTAAAATTTGGGAGGTGGCTCCGCCTGTTAATTGATATATACATCTAGATTTTTCTGAGAAATAATGAACAGCCGTATAACTCTAGATCAAAGTCCAAATTCATGGCTTGTTTACCATACAAACAAGACTTAAAATCACGGGCGCTGGGCATTGTCTTACGGAAATAACTTTTTAGTCTTAAAACTTTTAACTGTTTAACTGCATATTCCTATTTTATCAAATTTGCCTTGCTTTTAAAGTGTTGTAAAAACGTGATTGGATGCATAAGGAGCTGGCTTTATAGTATACACCATAGTTTTATTAATTTCAGGTCTTGGGTTTAACTTAAACATGCCTTTCATACTTGCCTGAGAAGCGTAAAGTCTTAAGTCACTTTCTGTAACTTCGTGATTATCTACTTAACAGATTTATTTCATTTATCTCCATGTTTTGTATGGTTATTTCATCAGTTAACAAAATATTTTCTGGAATATTATTGGTGTTGGGAGGTGGAAACAGTCGTGTGTGGGTTGTTTACACACTGCCTAAGATGCAATTTGTGTAGAAATAGTGCTTTTTAATAATGGTATACATGTTTTATGATATTGGAATTTAATACTTGGAAACTTAATGTTGGGCATGTGTATCAACTACAAACTGTGATCTGTAATAAATATGGATGCCCAGGCCAAATCCTAAAATGGTTTTGCAATTGGGACTTACTAAAAATGGCTGCAGGGTAGACTGACAAGAATGAGTTTGCACTTTTGCAATGTAGTAAATTTAAGGCCTTAAAAGAAATCTGTTTCAAATCGAATTAGGCGGCTTAACCTTCTTTGCCAGTGATGAAAGTGAAGTTCCGTTTATAGCTGTAGATTAGTGTCTGCTAATGCAATGCTCACTGTAGTCTACTTTAATGTTAGTAATTTTACTATTCGTGCAGTTTGCTTTCTGAGCATTTTCTTGGCTTGTTTTGCTTATGGTTTTGTCGACCTCTATTTTAAGCATCATGCCAGTTGTGCATTTATTGGAACGTAAAACATTGTAGTCTTTGTAACTCGTTTTTCGTGTTGTGTCAATATTAACGGATTATCTCCAAATGCTAGTTGTCTATTTTATGTATAGAAAGCAATATCTAAATGAATCCTCTTTGCTGGCCTTGCAAACCCTTGTGCATCTGCTGAGATGACGCAAGAGCGCTGCAGGGTGAGATGGTGCATAGGGAGGAGCTAAATATTCCTTTGTAGAATGGATGGCAGACTCATGCTTTATTGCAAAATACAGGATTAGGTATGGCATGTGTTGATCAGACTGGTCTGGAAGTAGTTTGATATCAAGTATTCCCTTTTAACTTGTCTTCAGTTCTGATACCTGTTGTGTTTCTTGGTACACAAGTCTGAAAACAGGTTAGTCCTGGCCAGAGCACTGATTACATCGTCACTTGGTCAATCTAGCATCTAATTGAAAGGTGGAAAACAAGGGTTAAAAAAATGACAGATCAATTGATGGCTGGTGTCTTTCTTTTCATTGAACAGAACATATAATATAAACTCCGCATGTATATGTGGCATATTGTTAAATGGCACAACTCTAGTATCTTCAATAACCGTTTTAGATTTAAACTTTTTGTATCTATTAAACTTTATAATGGGATCAACCAATATTATTTTTTTGAGCCTATACCGATTATCGGTGGGTTTTCAGTCTAGCTGGTAATATTTTGTAGATTTACAGTTAAATGTTTTTTTTATAAATATTTCCTTTGATCTGTAAAAGCGCAAAATATACATGACCATTGAATTTTAATGCCTTCAAGAATATTTGTGTAGTGTATGTGGGGGTGTAAAATGTCCAGTTTAAATCTGTGGCTAATCTATTCTGCAGGCTAAATTTTTATCTTGTATAATAGTTTAAAAATAAATACATTTTTCCTTCCTGCCTTTTTAAATGTGAACAGGCACATTACACTCCATAAAAGCTTATTGCCAAAATGCAGAGTATCTGCCAAACAGATAAACAATGGATCTCTACTTTATAATGTACTCTTGTGCACTTATTGCTTTGTCCATCTAGTTAAAAGCTTTTAAATAAGCTAAACTTGAATCCAGTCAAGGTTTGCCTTGTCTGTCATTATGGTGTCACTCTGAGGTCCAATCAAATTTTTCTCCCAGGTTCAGAGACCATTGTGCGTTGGAGTAATACTTTAATGTCTGTAGAAAAATCTCCCTAAGTATAGGTTAATGGTGTTTTAGGGATACAAACAAACTGAAAAGGATTTACTAGCTTTCAAAATGCCAGGATGATTTATCTGCATTTGTTACATATATTGTAGACCAGTGTTGAATAATGTAACCTGTATATGCGTTTTGCACCATTATCTCAGGATGTTTAAAATTTGACATATTGTAAATGTTTATCTCAAGTTTCTAATTGTTTTTTTCCCTTTTTTGTTTTAGTTCCAGAGTTTCTTTCAATTGCTGTAGTAACCTGGGTCCCGGGCCTCGGTGGTGTTCCTGATGTCCCTCACCCACCCCTGAAGATCCCAGGTGGGCGAGGGAATAATCAAAGGGATCACAATCTTTCAGCTAATTTATTTTATTCTGTAAGTAACCTGAATTAATGTTTGCATTGGTTAGTGTTTGAAAAAAATTTACATTGTTCCACCTTGTTCATATGCTTTAGTAGGCACCTTACCTTAGAAAATGTTCTGTGCGAACCAATTTTGTGACAAAATTGTTACAATGTTCAGCATAGGAGTGGGTACTATTTGGGGATAAAAAAAAATTAACTGTTACAATGTTGCCATCTTCTTGTGCAATACAAAATCAGCATCTGCCTTAGTATAACTGTGAAGCAACCAGCTTTTAGAGTGTACTTGTTATGGTAAACACAACTTTTTCTCATTTTAAAAGAACGTTCTAAGCACTGCAATCACTGCTTGGTGTAGTGTTTATTCTGCTGCCCCATTGTAAGCAGTAGAACAGTTTGACTGCCTATCTGGGGGCAATGTTCACTGCCACAAACACCAGAGTTGTAAGCCCCTAAGCAGGAACATCCATCTCAGGTATGCACTCTCAGCTACCATTGCTTTCCATGTTCCAGGATTGAGTGAGGGAACAATCAGGGTGGATTTGATTAAAATCATATGTAAAGGGATACTATAGAAACTACAGCTTAATGTAGTTTGTCTATAACCTGTCCCTGCAGGCTTTTTAATGTAAACAATGCCATATCTTTGAAAAGGCAGTGTTTACATTGTCTTAACACCTCTAGTGGTAGTCACTCAGACGGCCACCAGAGGTGCTTCCTGATTTAATGATGCAGTGTGCAGCACTGACGTTTACCATATCCAGGCTCTGCGTGGAGATGTCGAAAACGCCCCAATAGACTCAGAGCATCTCTGAGGAGATGCTGATTAGCAGTGTTTTGCTGCGCACGTAAAATAGCCTCCTGACTCTTTCCTATGGGAAAGCATTAGATTGACCCAGTAGTTATGATGATCTGACACTGAGGCGGGGGGAAAAGGTAAGTAAACTCACCTTTTTAAAGTAAAGAGAAGTGATAAGGACTTAAATAGTGACTTACCACTAGTGTCGGGTATACATGTTTTGTGTGTTCCATTTAATAACTATTCAGTAAGTCTTGATTTAAATCATGATTTTTTTTTTTAACAGTTTAATTCTTGCTGGTAGTTAAAATCTTTACTATTTGCATCTAGTTGAAGATTTAATATTTAGTTTGACCTGTCATATTGGTAAATGCTGCTTTAAATTATTACATGCCCACATTAAACACTTGCTAGAACTTATTTTTTGTGCCACTATTAGTGTCTGACTTTTTTCCCCATGTAGAATAACTTGATTCTTAAATAAAATTGGTAAATTTGCTTTAGATGCACTGGCTCAATTTTTTTTGTGCATGTCTATTTTCAAGTAGCCTAAAATGCACTAATTGGAGTTTCCCTTGAGTAATGGTGAAATCTGTGAGGAGCTGAAATGAGCCTGAATGTTCTGTAAATGCAGAATCTTACTTTCTACTGGTTTGATCTTTGTCGTGGACTTGTAACACCACTTTCACAGTTTAAAGGTAATAAATATAAACCATGCTAAGGCAGGAATGCAGTTGGTTAACACCAAACCAAAATATTTACTTTATTCTCTTTTGTAACTTTCAATGGCATTTAAAATATTCCTACTTTTTGGCTGACAAGTCAACTTAAAGAAAAACAATGTGCTGACAAAGTCCAGCTAAAACAATATATAGAAGACTTGCAAATTTTGGTCAGCATCTTTGGTTTGAGTATTTCATTGTACAGTCATTTAATACTTCTGCGAAATATAATTATGCTGTTTCTTGAACAGTAACCTGTTAATCTACTAAAATGTTAGAGAAAATGATTGGTTTATATTACTGTCTAGGGTCACCTCCAGTGGCCACTCCTCAAGTGGCTTCTATAGGTGCAGCACTGACATTCAGTGTCTCCACCCTCTGCATGAAGGCACAGACCTTTCCTCATGGACTCTATGTATCTCTGTCAGGAGATGCTGTTTGGCTCTTCCCCATCTGCCTCTTTGGTTGAAATAATTAGAATTAATAATCTCCGGCAATCCATTGCTTTCTTCATGCATCTTGTCACCTTGGGAAAATGATTTGCAAAAGTTTAAAAACAAATCACTTAATATAGCGCATGCTATTCAATCTAACTAGTAGTCTTATTTTAAAATGCATAATACTTTGCAGTGTTTGTGCAGGTATTCAGAATACTGTCCTGGTATCCTTTTAAATTTGAACAATGTTGTATTGTTGGCCTTTATTTAGGTTGCCTTGGTACAATATGCAATTTTAATTGGATTTTAAGAACTGCTGCACTTGACTCCTTTTTATTTTTGTCTTCAGGATAATAGGCTGAGCATAACAGAGGAGCTTACATCCAACAACAGGACCAGAGTACTTGATGTCCAATCCAGGCTGACAGATGGCAAGCAAGTCAATTGGAGGGCTGTGTTAAACAAAAACAACCTCTATATTGAAATTCCACCTGGCACACTCCCTGATGGGAGCAAAGATAGGTATGTACCTCACCTTACATGTTACTAGATTAATGGATGCCTCAAAAATCCTAGCTTCTGAAATTGTTTAGAATCTTGCCAACAATATGAGAGCACCGGCAATAGTTAATAGAAATCCTATTTTAAAGTGAATAATCATGCCTGTTTCACTTTAACAACCAACTCACTTGTGTGGTGATTAATAAACTGAAACATTTAAAATATATTTTTAAAACCTTTTTTATTAGTTTAGAATATCAGCCCTCACTTTTAAAGTTATAAAAGCCTAATTAAACCTACCTGTAATAGAGCACAGGACATCTTCCTGTCACCACTCTGCCGCTTAGTGCTTCAGTTGTGGCATTGGTCAAATTCTTTTCATGGAGAAACATTGGAATCTGCAATTGCCAATCAAATACTTCTCATCGAGAAGTATTGAATTAGGTGCTCCTCCACAGGAAGCATGATATGTTGGCATTGGATTTGATTCAAAAGGTCTTCTTGTTTAAATGCCTCTAGTGGCAGGCAGGCATCACAACAGAAATGTGTTCTCAGGCAAATGTAAAAGTTGTCATTTCTAATTTTACATTGTCAGCAAAAAATGAATGAGGTCTGTATGAAATCTCTATTAAAGGAATTCTCAATTGTACAGTGTTTAAAAAATTTACTAGATATATTGGTTTGGTAATTTTTTTTATAATAGCAGGCATGACTTCATATGAAACTAGATTTTTGTTTGTGTCAAAGGGAGTAAAGCATTTCATTTCTTTTCCTCACCCAGTTTTGCTGTTCTGTTGGAATTTTCTGAGGAACAACTCCAAGTGGACCATGTCTTCATATGCTTTCACAAGAGTAGAGAGGATAGAGGTGAGTGAACGTAACGGTTTTCAGCTTTTCCCATCTTATTTCTGCTTTTCCGTTCTGACTATTAAAGGGGCAGTCCAAGCACAACCCCTCTCTAGCATGTAGTCAAGACTCCTCTTCATATACAGCTTAAGCAGACTTTCATAAATCTGCTTTAGATGGATAAATTCATTTATTTTGGTCAAAATTTCTTGAGTTTTGGCTAAGTGTTAACCAATTCAGTGCAGAGATGAACAGAATTGATATTAAGAAGTAAAAATATTCCTGTAATAAATGTGTACACTATAGTGGTTATGGTGTTTAGCGTCACTAAAGTTACTTTTGTGCTATTAAACACCAAAAATTAAAATAACGAATTTCTTTTTTTGGGGGGGTTAAAATGTCTGGACACTTTCAGGGGGCTCTTTCCTTTATTTTACATTGACAAATTCAGATATAACAGACTTAGAATTCTTTGGCTATCACTGCTATGTAACATAGCATACCTGTATGCTAATAATTGGGGCAGTGCATGCCAAATCATGTGGGGATTTTCTAGACACTGGACATCCTCAAGCAAAGCTGGATGACATCCATCATTTCAGAGTTAAACTCCGTGAGAAACCAGGAAGTGCCTCTAATGGCTATTTGGAAGACTGACTACAGGCAATCTTAAGTCTGCAATGTAATCTTTACAAGCCATCTCACTTTTGAGGCTTAAACAGTTTTTGCATGTGTTAACATGAAGTTTCCCTTGAACACACGTACTGTCTCCTCTTGAGGCTGCAGCAATCTGGAAGGTTTTGTGTTGGTGGGGAATAATTTCTTCCCACTGAGTAACAGTTGGTGGCCAGTGATCAGCTGAGAGCACTACACTAGATCAGCAATCAGTGGCTGCCAAGGCATAACTTTCCTAATCTGGCTGAGTATGAATGCCTGAAGCCAGCAACTTTGAGTTAAAATGTTCAAAATGGTTTAACCCCTGAAGATGGTGCCATGTTACTTCAGCCACCGATAGGGGGCAAGGCTTCAGTGATGGTTATGGGAATGTTCCCTTTTAAAAGCACAAGTTGAGTGAAAGATTGTCCTAGAGACGTCATTTTAGTGCAAAACTAACTATTACATTTTGTTACAGCGGCACTTCTCCGAACATTCAGCTTTTTGGGCTTTGAGATTGTGAGACCTGGGCATCCCCTTGTCCCTAAGAGACCCGATGCTTGCTTCATGGCTTACACTTTTGAAAGAGATTCATCTGATGAAGATTAGAAACCCTGCAATGTTTGCATCTTTAAGCTTTTTTTTTTCTTTCCCAATGTCATCTGTGAAGAATCGTTGAGATATTGTCAACATCTATTGAGCCGAATTGTCTAGTGAATTTTCTGCACCAAGCTTTTTCTGCAAAGAGTGTGAACAGGATGTTGAAAATTTGTTTCAAACTATCTTTTCAGAATTATTTTGCCTGCATGTTTTGACTTTGAATAAATGCTCACTCCAGATTACAGCTATATCGATGGATGTTTAATGTGTTTTTGTGATATCAAAGTATTTGCTTTAATTCTAAATAAAACCTTTATATTTTAAGATCCTAAAATATTCATTTTTTAAATGATGAAAGAATTCATATGACATTCTAATTCATTTAGGAACATGAGCTAGTAGTTGATCCAAAAGATTCTGACATTCTCTTCAAATGTATATGTGACTCTGAATTGCAGTGTTGTCTCTGCCTTCGTGTACAAAGAATACAATACAAACCTTAAGCTGTAAAACATTAATTGCTGTTTTGCCAAATTATTTTAAATGCTCATAAAATGGATTTCACCTATTTTTGAAGTTGATCCAAAAATGGCCGAAACCTTGTTCATAGTAATGTTCTGGGGAAATTCCTTGACTCCAAAACAGCAATCGAATTTCTCGTTGGATTAACAAGCTGTTAAGCCACAAACTGTTGTATGTACTTAATATGTTTGCTTGTTTTCCACTTAAAGGAATTTTATAGTGTAAGGAATGCAAATCTTTATTCCTTACACTATCTATAGCTTCCATTGCGTGCCTCCCACGCATTGAAAAGGTTTAAACAAAAACACCTTTTGTTTACTTGTCAAATTCCAAATGCCGACCTCCCTCAGCACTCCGCCTTCTCTGTCATGTTATTGGGGAGGCAGGTGCATCTGGCCCTCCCAATAGAACATTGTTCAATGCTTACCCATGGGGATTTAACGGACAATGTACAATGCTGAGGACTTCCAGTGTCAGGTGACAGAGTTGCTTAACCACCAGAAAGTGCTTCTGGTGACTGACAGTTACTAAAGGCAATCTTAGTCTTGCAATTTCTCAAACTGAATGTTTTACATAGCAGGAGTAAAGTGACGGACACTGCACACCAACCACTTCAATGAGATGAAGTGGTCTGGATACCTACAGTGTCACCGTACTGAAGCAGTTTTTGCAGTTGTGTTCAATAGTGATTTAAATCTTTCTCACATACAGCACCATATGGTATACTTTATTTTTTGTACAAAAAGGTCTTTAAGTGAAGGTGGAAAAAATGTGTGTACAACAATAAAAAAAATTAAACACATTTTGTTTTCAGTTTTGGGAATGTGTGCATAATTAGTGCATCTTAAGAAAAGTAATTCAAAACCAATTCAATTTAAGTCTTGAAATTCAATTAATATTTGGTAGTTACAGGTTACAAAATAAAAGTAGTAAAATAAAATTTTAGTATAGCAATTTTGAGAATTTGGTGTTTTATCTTGTAAGTTTAAGAACTGTCACAAAACAAAATTGCCAACAAGTGTTTATCTTTATATAAAATAGACCATGGCAATCTATTTATCAAAATGTATTTTTACTTGGGTAGTCTTATAACTTCCATTCTCTGCTAAATATTGTGGTAAAATTCAGATTTTTATTTTGTGGTTCTTAACATGTACACAAGGTTTTTAGTATTCTAGAAACCTGATGTAGCTGAAAATTTGACTTTTTTTGTAAAGTAGTAGCACATATCAGAGTACCCCCTAATGTATGTCTTTGCAATGATCTTGTGGAGTCTGTGCCATATAAGACCTGAGCAATTCAGTTTTTAGTTAAACCTTTCATAGATGGATTTGATAGGAAAGCCTCATTTTTGGTGTGAAATTATCCCACAAATGCCTACCATTAGTGAAAGCATACATTCCAGGCTCTCATATAGTGTACCTTGGCTTGCTGCTAGTTTGTCAAAGTTGGCACTTCTGGAACTAATTTTGCAAAGTTAGTGCTGTATAAGACCAGACTATTTCAGTTTTTACTATAATTTGTCCATGAATTGAATGGGCCTTTTCTGCATTTTGGGGCATTGTAGCAGTTTTACAATACAAAGTCTTATAAATGCATGCTTTTTGTCAAAGTAGACATGAGGTATGTCATAGTATATTTTAGCCTTATACAACAATTTTAGCATTTCCTTTTAAAGCTTATATATTCATATGCTTTGCAAGTTGGCTGTTTACAAAATAAACTTTATGCTACTGTAACAAATCACTAAATTGTTCTTGGCTCAATCTCCCGAATACAATGACCCCTTTTGTGTACTCATGTCAAGTTTCTGTGAAAATACAAAGCTGAATTTATAACTGTACCATTGCCGTTTTTTTTAAAAAGACAGATATGTTGCATTTTGTTCTCTTTGGATTTCATATAAAATTAAACTACTTCATAAATACATACCGTTCGCTAAAGTAGACATCATGGGGATTTGGTTAGAATCAGATGACTACTCTAGCCAATCAGCAGCAGAACTGCAGTGGCACTCTGCATTTTCTGTAACTGATTCAGAAGCCTGATGTTGCTTGGGGGTACCTTGAGATAGGTGCTGGAAGCAACCTTTGTTAAACTGTTTGAGAACTATTTAACCACTTAAGGGATGAGTTTGCCAGGGGCTCCATAACATCCTTTAGATTAAGTTATGGTGACCGGAGTGTCCCATTAATTATCCTCTGCAACATTTTTGGAGTATAATTACCCTATATGTATAACTTTGCAAAGTAATAGTTTTAATCCCTGGCTAAATAATTAATCTGAAAATAATCCCAAATCCAACCTTGATCCTAAAGTTTACCTAAACCATAGTTATATGCCTAGCCAGTATTTTAACCTTGATCATATTAACCCTAACCCTTTATGTAGTGGTGTGATTCCATCTACTGGCCCTAATCACAATATTAACTCTAAACCCATTTTACATTTAAACAGATTGCTACACCTATCCTTAACTTTCAATCTGCATCCCTAATTTAATACTCATCACATAGCTAATGTTACTGATTTTTAGCAGAGGGAATTTGAAGCTAAAACAGTGGTATGGTGCCACAGTTTGGCTAATTTCGTGAGGTCTTGTGGTAAGTAATGACCGTGTGGTGTAGAACCATGCTCTGGATCCTTGAGACATGAGTGTGACCCAGAGGGGTTTGAGGGAGTGTGCAGCTGTACAAGTTCTTCCAAAACTGCGCACACTAGTGGTTCACAAGGAAAGTATTCTGTGAGAGCCCTTAATGTTGCAGGCCCCAGTGTGGCAGCAATCATAAGAGGTAGGCCATAGTGCCTTGCCAAGAATGCCAACAGAATTCACTAGTTGGGACTGGGATATCCCTCTCCTGTCTAAAGGGAGGGGAACAGTGTCCAGGAATAGGCTCGCTGTAAACCAGGGCAGGGGATCGACAGTCTCCCCCACCTCCTGTATGTCAGCAGGCCACAGAATTGTCCAACACGGTCTGTCTTCAGGAACCAGGCAATAAGGAGTTACACAATAAGAAGTGCTTTCCTCTAACAAGTACAAGTTGTGCCCCAATAGTGCTGAGTAAGTTGATTATATGGTTTCATTACTAGTTTTTCTGAAGTTCTAGCATGGTCAGCTGGCAGGCCCTGCCCCCTTGCTTTCTATCTTTTAACATTGAATATAGTGTGCCCAATGCATTGTGATCAGTGCTGGGTGACTGACCAAGTTCAACGCTGATCAAAATGTAATGGTGGGAGACCCTCCGGGGATGTCCTAATCACCAGGTCCAGTGAGACTATATCGCTGTGGCTGAGCTTGATTGCTTAGCTGCAGTGTTCTCTATAGATTTAAAGGGCTAAATGCAGCTCATCAAAAAGTCTGGATCCACTAAAATGGCCCCAGTTGATAGTGGGAAGCCTCAAGTATCTATTGATACCTGAGTTTTCTAGTGTGAGCAGGGATTTAAATACCCAATAGAAGAGCTGCATGCAGCTCAACTGTCAGTCTAGGGCCCACTAAAATTTTTACCTGAGTTACCTGTTGTGAGCAGGGATTTAACCCTGCTCATACAACATTGTAGCAATTGGGATTTTATATCCCAGATTGCAGCTCTCGCATTGAGCATATTTCAGTCTGGAACCACTAATTCTGGTCCCAGCTGATAGGACCACAAGCTTCAAAAAATACTTGGGGTTCCCTGATACTAGTAAGGATTTAAAGAGGCACGGTCATCCCCCCCCAAAAAGTAGTATTGAAAAACGCATTTTAAAATATATTTACTGAAATTCCAACTTAGTCAAGTGATTAACAGAAACAAACCTTGTCTCTATATTTTCTCTGCCTGACTTTCTTAGACTGAAGGCGGAACTACAGTGTCGGTCCCAACACATCACCAGTGACGGCTGTAGGTAATTGTCTGTCTATGGAGGACCCATGGATGCAGGATCCTCCATAGACCTCAATGCTGTGTTCTTGCACATGTGTGAGTGTACAGCAGTGACATAGTCCCCTAGCGCTAAAGCGGTGAAGATGGAAGAAGATGGTGGTGCCTGCAGAGACTGTCATGTGGTTGTCCTTAAGTGCTTAAAGCAGCCAAACATATCTTAAATACCCGAATCTGTGATTCCAGAATCTGATAAAACAACTATAGGTACCCAGGCCATTTAATCTTGTTGAAGTGGTCTGGGTGCAGTGTCCCTGCCCCCCTTTGTCCTGCAATTTAAATCATTGCAGTTTTAGAGAAATAGCTCAATTTAAATTGCAGTACTTAGACTGCCTCTAGTGGCTGTCCACCGGACTAGATGTCCTTGCTTACTGCCGTATTACAGTTTGACTCTGAAACGACGCTGGACGTCTTTACAGCTTTGTATTCCTCACAATATAGTGTTCCTTTAAAGATATAATGTCACATCTTTTTATTGTTGTAAGAAACACTTTTCGCTGCCACAGTAAAAATGTGTCACCACTTCTCCTGTCACTGAATATGTTAAAGGTTAATGTGTAACATTTTGTTTTTAAGGAACACTCCACACAAAAAATACTTCAGCTTGCTTGTGCCTGGGCTCTGTCATTTGTTGTAGCAGGTTATAAAAATGCCAGTTTCAGTAGAAATAGTCATACTTGGGGACAGAAACATTTCCACAGAGCTGATACAGAAGCATATGAAAGTCGCTATTGAGAAGCCTCTCTGGAGTATTCCCCGGCACAAAATAATGCAGGTCTGCAGCTTTTGCAAACAGTTGTTTTTCATATCCTTCTAGAGAGAAAACCTGCAGTAAAATATTAATACATGTTTTCTTTGGGGGTGTACAATGATCAGCCACAACATTAAAACCACCTGCCTAATATTGTGTAGGTCCCCTCTGGCTGCAAAAACAGCTCTGATATGTCAAGGCATGGACTCTACAAGACCTCTGAACATGTCCTGTGGTATCTGGCACCAAAACATTAGCAGCAGATCCTTTAAGTCCTGCTAGTTGCGAGGTGGGGCCTCCATAGATTGGATATGTTGTTCCAGCACATCCCACACATGCTCAATCCAATGGAGATCTGCGGTATTTAAAGGCCAAGGCAAAACCTTGAACTCTTTGTCGTGTTGCTCAGATCATTCCAAAACAATTTATGCACTGTGTAAGGGTGCATTATACTGTTGAAAGAGGTCACTTCCATTAGGAAACACCATTGCCATTAAGGTGTGTATGAGGTCTGCAACAATCTCTCTAGGTGGTGCATCCACATGAATGCCAGGACCCACAGTTTTCCAGCAGAACGTTCCCAGAACATAATGAATTAAAGAATAGAAATTCCAAAAAAGCTGCCTTACTAGAATGCAGCCAATAGGAAAAGAACCCAGTCCAATCTCAAAAAAAATATAAATAATACCAAAAAATAATAAAACTTTATTAGGATATAATAAAAACCTAAGACTACACAAAGATGTCTAAGGTCTAGTATTAGGAGGGGTATAGCATATAAAAAAGCCTGACAAACTGCCAAAAGAAAAAGGGCAGTAAACTAAGCTTGTATTGCATATACCTTAGTGAATAGCAGCATAGAGGACCTAAGTAGGAGAGAGAGGATACATGTGTGGTATATAGTATTAGGAAACCCAAAAAGAGGGGTAAAGATGCCCCAATTATAACATAAAGGGAACCAGTTAAAATACTAATACCCAAAATCAAAAAACCCCCTTCCCAAATCGAAAGGACAAATCCTACAGTTAAACCATCACTCTAAGCTAATACACTATCTCCTAAATAACACCTTCGTGGGTGTTCTAATCTAATATCTAAACCTAGACATCTGTGGTCAAATTAATATTGTGCCCAGTGCTCGTTGGTGCAAAAACAAAAAACCCAACACGCGTTTCGGCGAAACTACACGCCGTCCTCAGGGGTATTGCAACCGAGGCTATCCCTGCAATGTAATTTATACCCATATTGATTCACTTACACCTGAACAGCGGCCAATGAATACCTTCTGCAATCAAGTCACCGCACCAATGATATTATTAGAGGGGCGGGACACAGATGCCAGCATCCAATCAATGAATTTCAGTCTCTCCGCTCGCTACACCAATAGGATTGCGGGGGCGTGATATACACGTCACCACTCACAAAAAAGAAACCGTGAGCAGCCAGAATAATCAAATTTCCGGTCCAATAATTTAACCCCTCATATCCAATATCAATTATCGTCCATATAGAGTATCTCTTCATAATCAGTGGTAACTAGAATTGAAAAAAATACCATCTAACCAAATAAAAGCCCCTAAATGATCCAAAAAATAGATCGCTAAATTTAAAGGTCAGAGGAGCAAAATGATTGGCAATGTCTAGACAGAATATTATGTTGCCACTGAAAAAAGTTAAGATGTTGCCAGTGTATCTGTGTTTGAGCACTTTATTTTAACAGTGCATATTCAAACATAGTCTACGGAACAAATAAATGACGGTGTCTGATCTAAATACTATGTTGCCACTAGGATGTATTATGTTATCAGTGTATCTATAAATAAACACTTTAACAACACAAATACAACCAGTCAATGGCATGTAATATAAGACACCTTAATTTGGTATGAGGATAAAAATAATAAATGGGTATAATAATAATAAGAAAAGGGGACAATGAGGGATAGCAACAAAATAAATAAAAACTAATAAAGAATATATATACATATGTACAAACTTAACAAGAGATACCTTAAAGGTATTGCCATTCTATTAAATAAACGGGGAGTAAGAAAAACCTTCATTCAGCCCAAGTGGAGACAGAGTTTTGAGGCGATAGATCCAAAAAGCCTCTCTTTGTCTTAATCTCTGATCCCAATTTCCTTTTCGCGGTGGTTGTGGTATATGTTCCAGACCCATAAAACGGATACCTGCTGAAGAATGATTATGATGTAAATGTAAATGCCTAGAGACAGGTGTCTCCAAATGTCTCCTGACAGAATTTACATGTTCTCGTATCCTGAGTCTGAAATGACGAAAAGTCTTGCCCACATATTTCAAACCGCAGGAGCAAGTCAATAGGTAAATTACCTCAGTTGTATGACAGTTAAAGAAGGAATGGGATTTAAATTTCTCCATATCCCCACTATCAGAAAACGTCTTGGAGTGTCTATTAATAAATGGGCAGGCACTACAATGACCACATTGAAATGTGCCTATTGGTAGATATTTATGAAAATATCCCAATGCAGGTGTAGTCGAGAGATGGCTAGACGCTAGCAAATCTCTCAAATTCTTACCCCTCTGTGCTGTAATTGAAGGAAAAGATGGCAATATATCCTTAAGATGTCTATCAGATTGTAAAATAGGCCAGAGTTTTTGAAACACATTTTGCATAATGTCCCACCCTGCATCATATGTGCCAATGCAGCGTATTTTACTTTCTTCCACCTTACGATTGTCATCAGTAATTAAAGTTTCACGGTCTGTGTGGATTGCCCTCAAGAAAGCCCTTTTCAAAACCCTATTCGGGTATCCCTTAGTTTTAAACATTTGTCGTAGTTCATTAGCTTTTAATTTGAACTCATCTAAAGTCGAACAATTACGACGAAGTCTCAGATACTGGCCAATCGGAATCCCTGATTTCAATGGTGTAGGATGGTGACTTGTCCAACATAACAGGTTATAGGAGGCTGTCTTTTTTCTATATAATGTTGTATCTATCTTACCTCCTGACGAAATCTGCAGTGTAAGATCTAAGAAACAAAGACATTGGCCCCCTATCTCACTTGTAAACCGTAAATTGAAATCATTGATATTGAGTAGTTGTACGAACTCATTGAATTTATCTACTGTATCCAGCCAGATTACAAAGACATCGTCGATGTATCTCTTCCAATAGAAAATCCGGTCAATATATGATTTTAGTTTGGGGTCTGTCCTGATGTACTTTTCCCACCAGCCTAAATAAAGTTGGCATATGAGGGCGCACAAGACGTCCCCATAGCCGTACCAGTAACTTGATGGAAAATTTTTCAATTGAAAAGAAATATGTTCCGAGTTAGAATGAATTCTAATAGTTCCATCACAAAATTCACAAAATCCTCAGGTAAATTGGTTTCCAATTTAAAAAGTTCCTGAGTGTATTTAATACCTAACTTATGAGGGATGGAACTATAGAGAGCTTCTACATCTAAACTACATAAGATGGCGTTTGTAGGTAAAGTAAGGTTAGTCAGTAAATGCAACATCTGTTTGGTGTCTCTAAGAAATGATGGCAATTTTTGAACCGCTGGTGATAAAACTTTATCTATATAGACACTCGCATTTTGAGTTAAATTACCACATCCGGAGACAATTGGCCTTCCGGTTGGATCAGATAAGGATTTATGTACTTTAGGCAGACAGTAAAAGGTAGGTAGACATGGTTGTTTTGTACACATAAATTCAAATTCATCTTGATTGATGAATTGATTCTTCACTGCCTTTGTAATTCCTTTAACTCAATTTGAAATTGTTTAGTAGGATCTTTTGTTAAGTTTGTACATATGTATATATATTCTTTATTAGTTTTTATTTATTTTGTTGCTATCCCTCATTGTCCCCTTTTCTTCTTATTTTTATACCCATTTATTATTTTTATCCTCATACCAAATTAAGGTGTCTTATATTACATGCCATTGACTATGGTTGTATTTGTGTTGTTAAAGTAAAGTGTTTATTTATAGATACACTGATAACATAATACATCCTAGTGGCAACATAGTATTTAGATCAGACACTGTCATTTATTTGTTCCGTAGACTATGTTTAAATATGCACTGTTAAAATAAAGTGCTCAAACACAGATACACTGGCAACATCTTAACTTTTTTCAGTGGCAACATAATATTCTGTCTAGACATTGCCAATCATTTTGCTCCTCTGACCTTTAAATTTAGCGATCTATTTTTTGGATCATTTAGGGGCTTTTATTTGGTTAGATGGTATTATTTCAATTCTAGTTACCACTGATTATGAAGAGATACTCTATATGGAAGATAATTGCGGGATATGAGGGGTTAAATTATTGGACCGGCTATTTGATTATTCCGGCCGCTCACGGTTTCTTTTTTGTGAGTGGTGACGTGTATATCACGCCCCCACAATCCTATTGGTGTAGCGAGCGGAGAGACTGAAATTCATTGATTGGATGCTGGCATCTGTGTCCCGCCCCTCTAATAATATCATTGGTGCGGTGACTTAATTGCAGAAGGTATTCATTGGCCGCTGTTCAGGTGTAAGTGAATCAATATGGGTATAAATTACATTGCAGGGATAGCCTCGGTTGCAATACCCCTGAAGACGGCGTGTAGTTTCGCCGAAACGCGTGTTGGGTTTTTTGTTTGCACCAACGAGCACTGGGCACAATATTAATTTGAC